TGCATAAAGTCAGAGACAATGCATGAATCAATTGACAGAATAAATAATTTTGAAAATTTATAAAATTTTGATATCATAAAAAAATTGTGAAAAATATTTTTTTTCATTATTTGAAAATAAAATTAGAAGTTCATTGTACATGTGTAACATCCAAGCAGAGGTGGGCACAGTTCCGCTAATCCGCTAACCGCTAATTAGCGAAGCTAATTTTTTCTTTATCGGATTAGCTGTTCAGCTAACTTTGAAAACCTTCAGCGGACCCATTAGCTTCCGCTAAATTTAGTTCCGCTAACTGGCAGTCCGCTAAAAATGTTTTAAAATCTCTGATTTAATGCTAAGTATCGTAAACCGTGTGCCACGCCCACACTGACGGCTGACTACATCATCAAATGTTCGTGAGCCAATCACGTCTTGTGTTACTGGCAGTAACACAAGACGTCCTACCAAGAGTGTGTAACCCTGGTGTAACCTTAATATTTCTTATTCGTTTAATAAACTGTATGTTGAATGTCAACTACTGCCTAATTTCATTTGTTTATTTAATTATTTATGTTACGTACATCTTGATCATCACCTGATCTTGGCATGCTACATCTTTTTGGGAAGCTCCTTTTCAAGGCTTGAAGTTCAGCTCTATAGGCCTTTTTTCAGAGTTCCCCCCCCCCAAATTAAGCCAAATCTAAATTTATATATTAAAAATTAGCGATTAGCGGTTAGCGGTAAATTCCGCTACATTTTTCGGTGATTTATCGGTTTAGCGTTATCGAAGCTAACTTTTAGGTTAGCTGTGCCCACTACTGCATCCAAGGCACTGGATTGTTCAGAAGTGTTGTCTTTAAAAAGTAATTTTTAAACTCATATTATTTTATAGCTAAGAACATCAACCGTTAAATCAGAACGATTTTTATCGGGGAAATTAGTAAGAAGTTAATCACATTAAAATATCGATGAGCACTCAGTATCCTGGCTACCCGCAATAAATGCAAAACTCCTTTAATATTAACGTCAAAATTATGTCTCATCTTTCGTTGAAGCAGTGTCGCATTGGCGGTAAAAATTCTCGTAATTTAATCCAATGAAACTTTTATTTCTTCAGAATATTCAATGGAGGATTGTAAAATTCAATGCTTTATGATTATCACGGCAGCATTAACTGCATGTTAATTTGATGGAATTTCCTTGCCGATTGAATTCAAAATGGCTAAGAAAAGTTTGTTCTTTTCAACCTTTGAAAAAAACCTTTTCAGTTATATTGACCAAAATATCTAAACGCAGTATAAATTAATATCGACAACTCATGAAATTTATCAATTTTTATTTAGGCACGCCTCCAATTTTCCTTTGCAAATTTAGTGCTGTCGGAACTGGATGAAAACATACAGTAAATAAATTGCCAGGATTATTTCAGTATTCAAGTAAATTTTTCAGAAATTTAATCTGCAAGTAAACATTTTGTGTTGTTTAAATTTTTATTAGCCTTGCTTTCGATCATTCGAATAAGACTAACCGATTCTGGATTCCCTTCCAAAAACAACGCGCAATGATTTCGTTTTGAATAAGATTTCATGATAAAACAAACCACGAAAAAAATTCTTTGAAGTTTTTATAGTTTTTACAATCTAAATAATAACCATACTATACCTTCAAGAATTTTCTTTTAATAGGAAACTCTTAGAGTCATAGCAAACAAGAGCTTGAAAATTATATAAGCGTCAAAGCCGTCCTCGTGCACAGCACGTATTAATAACGCAGACTTGTGGAACTTATGGAAGCCCATCCAGCGAATGTAATAATAAAGAAATAATAGCGGTTTCAGCGTTTATTAGGCCATAGGCCTGTCGCCTCTGTAAAAAAAGAATAAAAAAATCCGTTGCATAAAAAGGTTTGACTTTGAATAACTTTAAATAAGATAAATCATCACTGAAAACAAATTTAGCTCGTGGATTTTCATAAGGTCATTAAACCCCGTAGAAAACTTTAAAACAAAAATACATCTCTTGTAATCAACCAATGATGTTGCGGCATCACGCAATGCTTTTGGGCCAAGGGCGCTGTCGCCTAACTTCACTAACGGTTGTAATGCTAATGTAAGTTGATAAAGAAAACACGCTCGAACTTGAAGGTGTATTTTAACAGTATCTCTTTAGGACACTCCAGCACACTCTGTTCTGAAAAATGATGCTAATGTACCCACGAAGGAAGCCTTCCTCTTCAAAGGGCTTATATGCGAGCGCGTCGCCGCCACGCACCATGGACAACCAAGCACCACACAGTATATGGGCCGCCACGCACCACGGACAACCAAGCACCACACAGTATATGGGCTGTCTCTTATACACATCTAGATGTGTNGACAACCAAGCACCACGCAGCATATGGTCCACCACGCACCATGGACAACCAAGCACCACGCAGTATATGGGCCGCCACGCACCACGGACAACCAAGCACCACGCAGTATATGGTCCACCACGCACCATGGACAACCAAGCACCAAACGAGCATTCGAGTCTTACTGCTCCTAGCAAAGGCGTTCATACTCGGAGCGCCAACAGCCTCCCTCATCAGGGAGGCTGTTCCACATGTCGGTGACTCGAAGCGAGAAGAAATTTTGTCGCGTAGAGAAGTTGCACCGCAGTTTTTTTAGTTCATAGCCGTGACCCCTGGTGTTGGTTCTTGTTTCAAATTCTAGTAATCCTTCGGGGACCTTGTATAAACCTGAGTTTACTTGTATACTTCAATGAGGTCCCCATGCACGCAAGGCGACGATAACGGAGACTGGGAAGCTTCATAATCTTTAATCTTTCTTCATAAGACTTGCCCTTTAAGCCAGGAATTATCCTTGTTGCACGTCTTTGAACACTCTCTACTAAATTTTTGTCCTTTTCAAGTCTCGGTGACCACACAACGTTTCCAAACTCTATGTTTGGGCGCACGACAGAGGTGAACAACAGCTTCATCATTTCTACATCTAGGTACTCGTAGGAGCATCTGATCAGCCCAAGCAGTTTATTGGATTTATTAACTTGCATTTCAGTATGCCTAGAAATTTTTAGCTATTCCTATCTACTACCACAATAGTTGTCGGGATACAAAATTTTCGTCACTTAGCGATAAATTCCTTCCATCTACTAATTCTTAATGCAAAGTTTTGGGTCAAAATTTGAACATGAATGTATATAATGTACTGGTTAAAAGAATAATTCATTTTTCGCTTTCCTGTAGTGAGCTACGGTGAAAACCACGTAAATATTATAATTAACAAGTGGTTACGAATTACAGCCACTGTCTTGCGATTCCATTGCAGTTGTCCTGAATGCAATTGTAAGAAATAAAAACATTACAAAAGAAACTAAAACAGCTTTCAAGTTTTTCGGTATATTTGTTTAGACTTTCACGATTTTGCTTCTAAAAAACCTTGAAATTAAAATATCCTAACTTCCTTCTGGTTACCAAACGCGACTAAAAACCGAAAATTTAAATACATTTATTCGTAAGTAACTGTGAACTTATCGAGTTCAGAAGCATCCCCCTCCACCATGATTACCTGGTGGTAGATTAGAATATTGTTTATCAGTATTTCGTGAATGATGATACTCGTATAATTGTGCGTACAGTGGGTGCACAAAGTATCCGACACAAAGGAAAAACTTTATTACTTTGAAACTTAACTTTTACAAAATTGCAATTCTTTTTCAGCATTTAATGATATTCATTTTTGATATGACATTTGTATTTTACATATACATTTACATTAGAATAGTGTTTGTTCATGTTATTTTGTTGGATAAGTTTTATTTAAATAAAGTTTTTATATGTGTCTGATGCTTGTTGCAACTATTGCATTTTACTGGGATAATGCACCCATGAATGAAATGCAACAGCATATGTTGTATGCTGCTTCAAGGATTACCCATAATCAAAATTAATGATAAGAAACATTATGTACTTATCACCGCGTCGCACAGATCTGCGCAGGTTATATAAGGGACTGCCCTTGCTGCAGTTGTTAGTACGGCGGGCAGGGTTGCGGAGTCGACAGGCTGGTCCTAGGCGTTGAAGATCGAGTAGTGTGATAAATAATTTTTAAATCTGAACATTGAAAGAGAATTTTGGGGCAGTAATTTTTTTAGGTAGAAAATTAATTTACATACTTTTCCCCGGAATTTTATGACATCGCTAGGTTGCTGTTGCTCAGAGCCCAAGTGCCACGGTCTACAATTGTGCCCTGTATTTAAAAAAGAAAACCAAAATCTTTCTCATAATGGCAATTATCTAAAAAATAATTGGATTAATTATCCAGTTTGAAAAGAATAATTCAAATAACAATGTGTAAACAGCCATCTACTCGTCGAATACTTAAGCAATAAAATTTTTCACTATCAATATTTGTATATTTCATCACATCTATTATTCATATAATTTGTAGCCGACATTTTCGTGGAGGAATAGGAGTAATATTGTAATGATATTCATACTTATGTGGACCGACAATCATTGCCCCAGTGTGTCAGTTGAATGAGACAAGAAGCATTCAGTTGGTCCCATATATGCACCATACAGTAGCTCAGCTGCTTGGTTGTACATTTTTGCATGTCGGTGGATTAAATTTATGACTAAGTCACCAAGCTTGTGACTTTAATTTAGTACTAAATCATCAAACTTATGACTTAAATTTATGACTAAGTCACCAACCTTGTGACTTAAATTTATGACTAAGTCACCAACCTTGTGACTTAAATTTAGTATTAAGTCACCAAACTTGTGACTCAAATTACTTAAATTTAGTACTAAGTCACCAACCTTGTGACTTAAATTTATGACTAAGTCACCAACCTTGTGACTTAAATTTATGACTAAGTCACCAACCTTGTGATTTAAATTTATGACTAAGTCACCAACCTTGTGACTTAAATTTATGGCTAAGTCACCAAACTTTTGACTTTTATTTTTGACTAAGTCACCAACCGTGTATAAGAAGAATATCTAATTTCATTTGTGTTACGATTTGACAAAGTATCTCAATATTCTTATTAGAATTTAATGTTAATGGCCAAAGCTATCATTTTTCTTCTGGTCACTGTTAGATATAAGCTGCATATGTGATAGCTAAGGGCTCGGCTCAAGACTTCCATCACCGATTCATTTTCATTACATTCAAGTACGTTTAATTCCGGTACCAAAATTCTACAATTACTAATTTGATCATTGATACAATAGAAAACATAACTTTAATTTGTCTTCACAAGAGCATGCCCGAAAAAACGCTCGAGCTGTTGTAGGTTAAGAAAACTGGATGAGAGAAGGGCCTTCAAAGTGTTGCTGGTCCTGAACCTGTTTTCATGTCATAAAAAATACTAGTTAATGATATAAGTGATTGCCTGAGGTGCTCACCGAGCATAAGTTTCGTTCGAGATTGCTTGCAAAATACTAGAGAAATTTGAAAATCGTTCATTATAGCTTTGCATGAAAGAGAGTTTTCGTCCGAGATTGCCTGTTCTACTCTTACATCAAGCAATTGATGTATACGGAATCAGTACACTTTTAATATTTTTTTTCAATTATAACAAATTTTTACAGGCCTACCATCATCATATTTACAGCACGAGCAGTTGCCTTTCGTTGTTGAAGACAAGAAGCGATGTCTGAAAATCATGAAGACGAAACTGAAAGGTAAGGAATAGCAAGGAAAAATTATTAGAGGCATCTAACAGTTTCGTGTTTCGTTTGTGTTAATAAAAATTACTGGGTAAGGCAAGCATGTTTTTTTCATCAATAATGGAACGAGATTATTAACGGGTAAAAAAAATAAATCAAATCAAAGGAAGATCAACTAAATTAACAATATACCGAAATTTATTTGGCTTCAATTTAGAAAAATTTATATTGATTTTGCGATAATACCATGTAACATCACCTCTGCTATATTGCAAGAACCATGACAGGCCACATCAGGCCTACACTTCAGCGCCGACATCACTATGTTATGCGCTTTCTGTTGTAACAATCGTGCAAGTAGGCTGCTGCCGTAGATTTATATGCAGTCTCAGCCTCTCAGGTGTTGGCTTCGAGTTATCAAAGGTCGCACTATAACATATCATAACATAGTGATCTCGGCGCTGAAGTGTAGGCCTGATGTGGCCTGTCGCCGATTCTTTTCCTTTTCGTGCCTTGTTCATAGAAGATCTGAAATCATGTCATTTGACCGGATCTTTTCATGACTGACGATAGTTTGAAGTAGCTACTAGACTTCCACCGGGTTCGATAAGGTGCTAGGCATTTCAAATCTGAATATATATTTTTCCATAGCTTTATCTAGTCTGTTCTTGAACGCGTTCATACTTGGAGCGCGGCCAAATTAAAAATATATAGAACGTGTACTCTATGAGGTCAGGGCATTTGCTGGCACCATATATATATACCATCATGATTGAATAAAAACGAGATAAACTCGTTATGTGTAACTTGTGTCAGATCCCATGGGTTTAGTAGAATCTAGGACGCTCCTTGTAAATTCTTTTCTTTCGAAGTCTTTGGTCCATATAAGAGATTATTGACAAATCATGGAATAAATGTATTTTTCATGCAATATAATAAATTATGCAACTTGAAGGCATGTTATTCATTGTGGAAATGAAAAAAGTGTTATTTTGCATGTAGAGCACCGTAGAAAATTTCACTCAGCAGTCAGCATGAAGCCTGACTATTTTTACAACACTTCTCTTTAACTTCACTTCTTGTCTGTTTGTCTGTCTGCTACAAATCTTGTAATCGAAATTTAATACATTTCTTCTTATCCTATCGATCTGAAATTTTGCACACTTGCGTAAAGTTGGAGACAATGCATGAATCAAACGACAAAATAAATAATTTTATGAATAAATTTTTTCTTTTCAATATTAAAAAAACTGAAAATATAATTTTGTCGGCTACAAATCTTATAATTGATATTTGACACACTTTTTCCCCTCCAATTGATATGAAATTTTGCACACTTGTGTGAAGTTGGAGGCAATGTGTGAATCAATTGACAGAATAAATAATTTTGAAAAATGTTATATATTAAAAAATTAAAAAATTGATTTTTTTAATATCCGAAAATAAAATTAGAAATTCATTGTACATTTGTAACATTGGAAACACTGGATTCTTTAGAAGTGTTGTCTTTAAAAAGCAATTTTTAAACGTATATTATTACTTCTGAGTAACTAATCCCTTATTCTATTTTCTACAACAGAATATCCGTAGAGGAGCTGGTGCATCCAAACCAAGAGTATGTTGACAAGTACTTGCCCATGGTCTCGAGTCTTGTGAACGTTGTACCGCATTCCTTCACGGCCCTTCCACAGTACGCGGACTTCCATACCGCCCATCGCTCCTTCCCCTGCAGGAGCTCGGATATCTGGGTGGCGTCGCACCCTAAGTCAGGTAGGTAGGGTCGTATAAGTAGTTCGTCTTCGATTCCTTGGTGTTAAGGTAATCCCGAGCCTGATCTGTCAGTAGCCCGACATTCTTTTCTTCGGGTCCCGGTCTACAGAGGCGAGGGTGGTGCCGCCCCATTTTAATATCCCCATTTGGAGATATTTATTTAATTTTGACACAAGGCTTTTGGAATATTACGAGCAAGTAGCAGATATTAGATAGGCGTAGGACTGCTACGTCCGAAACACTTACTAAGGATACAAAGGATACGAAAAATGTCAAGGATACTACGGCCTCCTTCATCGCGGTATCTAACTTATTTTCAAAACCGCGAAAACATTACCAAAAATCTTACCATGAGCATAAAGGAAAAACGTAATAAACTTGATTTAAGTACAATTGTTTGCAAAATTTATATGGCATTTTGAAGAGTTTTTTAAAGGCTTTTAAATTTTGTGTCAAAGCGAGGAGCGAAAGTTTATGAAAACATTTGCATTCATTAATTGCATGACTTGACCGAGAATCCTGCAATATGTTCGATTGCTTTCAGCAGATTCTGCGTATGAATCACTTTGTTGGTTTATCCTTCTTCTATTGTAAACTTTAATTGAATATTCAGTGCAGGGCGGAGTTAACTTTAACGAGTCTAGCAATGACCACCGGAGAAATTTGTGTCGCTTCTCACATGGTGAGAAAGGGCGCAATCCCTGATTGACCTCCCCTGCACCACTACCAGCGGCGAGAAGCAAGCAACAGCATCGTGCATCAGGTGGCCCAAATGAGGGCGATAACCAGAAGCGGCGATCCATCGTGGCCTGGGACTGCTCCATCCCAAACAAATACTAATTAAGGAAACTAAGGTTGAAGTTGAGTGATCAATTGACTGACATCAACGTCATGATACTTGTGAATGAAGCTTTAAATAGAATAGAAGTGTCGGCGTTGAAGAAATAGGCCCATGGCCTGTTGCCGATTCTTGAACTTTTCGTGACTTGATTCACAAGGGATCCGGCCTTTGGAACTCGATCTTTCCATATCCTGGTCCGTAATTTGCTAGGCATTTTAAGACTGAACATATGCTCCTGCATAACTTCGTCTAGTCTGTACTTGAAGACGTTCATACTGGGAGCGTCAACGATGCTATTAGGGAGGCTGTTCCAAATGTCGGTGACTCGAAGCGAAAAGAAATGTTGTCGCATGGATGTGTTACAACGCAGTTTTTTTAGTTTATAGCCGTGGCCCCTGGTGTTGGTTCTTGTTTCAAATTCTAGTAATCCTTCTGGGACCTTGTATAAGTTATGTGTACACTTGTATGCTTCAATGAGTTCCCCACGCAGACGTCGATAACTGAGGCTTGGAAGCTTCATAATCTTTAATCTTTCCTCATACGTAGGACTTGCCTCTTAAGCCCGGAATTATCATTGTTGCACGTCTTTGAACACTCTCTATTAAATTTTTGTCTTTTTCAAGTTTCGGTGACCACACGACGTTTTCAATCTCTAGGTTCGGGCGCACGACAGCAACAAACAACTGCTTGTGCATCTAGGAACTCGAAAGAGCGTCTGATCAGTCCAAGTCGTTTATGGCTTTATTAACTTGACGTTCAATATGCTTAAAACATTTCAACTCATTGATGATATTAACTCCTGAATCTTTTTCCATTGTCAACTTCGACATCATCGCTCTGTCGTTGCAACCGTGTCTTCTCATACTGTAATCTTGCTGTTCATTATTCATGCCAAGGCGGATTACTTTACATTTGTCAGCGTTAAAACGCAGCTGCCACTTATCAGCCCAGTCAACCAGCTTGTCAAGATCTCCTTGCAACTGTACTTTTTGCGACGTATTCTTCACTGTGTTATGAATTTTTGTGTCGTCAGCATACATCGAGCACACGCTAGACACAGCTTCTGACAGATTGTTTATAAACGCAACGAATAAAACAGGCCCGAGAACGCTTCCTTGTGGCACGCCGCTGCGCACTGAAGCCCAGTCATACGGACCTATTAATACTGACAAGTTGTCGTCTCCCTACTAGAAAATCTCTTATCCATCTGAGTACATGGCTGTCAATTCCCAAAGACTGCAATTTCCGCAACAGCCGTTCATAGGGGACACTGTCAAATGCCTCGGCAAAATCAAGGGACACTGTATCTACTGGCTCCCTTTCGTCCAGCAGGCGGGTCCATTCGTTCAGAGTAGACAACAGGTTAGTGGTGCAGGATCTCCCGGCAATAAAGCCATGTTGACAGTCTAATATGAGATTATTAGCAGTCAAATGATCTTTCAATCGATCCCTCACAGCAGATTCCATTACCTTGTAAACGACACTTGTCAAACTGACAGGGCGATAGTTGCCCGGACTGCTTTTGTCACCTTTTTTGAATAATGGTGTCACTTGAGCTTCTTTCCAGTCAGCCGGCAAGATTCCTTCGTTCAAAGTTTTCCGAAAAAATGACGTTAAAGAGCCGGCTAGGACAGTTACTAACTCTTTGAGTAATCTGGGGTGGAAGCCGTCTGGTCCACATGACTTGTTTGGATTTACAGCGATAAGGCGCTTGAGAGGCGCTCTTCTTTTTGTATTTCAAAACTTGTTAATTTAGAGCCGATTGGGTGCTCCTCAATTGCTGGAATACTGTTCGAGTCCTCTTCTGTGAATACGCTACTGAAAAACTTATTAAGAACGGTAGCCTTGTCCTCATCCGAGGATATCTTTCGTTGATCTACTTTCAAATCAGAAATACTGTCCTTCATCTTGCACTTCGAGCTAGCATACAAAAAGAAGGCTTTCGGGTTCTTTTTGCATTTTTAGCAATATTTTTTCGAGAGTTTTACTGCGGTGCGACAGCTTTCTTTAGCTTGATTTCGAGCTCTTGCGTATAGGTTATAGTCAGCATAGCTACCCTATCAAAATTTGGATGCCTGTCAGCCGCTGGCTCAGGGTCGCCCCAAATTCTTTTTGCGGTGTAAATTAGAAGCTCTATGTCCGCTTTAGGTTCCGGTAGCCGGAGCGAAATAAGCGCCGAAAGAGAATCTTTTGAAATACCCGTCGAACTTGGGGCGATCGTGGGGCGCGCGTATTCGGTACCTGATACGTTCGGGACAGACACGGCCGAATCTGAAAAATGCGTTAAAAAAATGCCCCCTCCCTTCCCCCCTCTATGGGGGGAAGGGAGGGGGTCATTTGAATCGATGTACGCTATATATATATGTGAGCAGACTAGACATGTATCATCGCGGCACAATGAAGCAAGTGACAAGTAAACACGAGTTTGAAACGGGAATAATATCAGTTAATAAAACTTTCAACCCCGACTTTCCAAATTACCCATAACATTCTCTAATATTTTCCAGAATTGAAAGACCCTCGCACATTGCCCGAGCAAAATAATTTTCAATATTCACCAGCAGCCAGCATTCTCACACATTTCCCAAAACAAAACATTCTTCAGTATGCGATATCACTCAAATATCAACATACTCCAATATTCAACACTGCTCAATATTATCCCACATCATCCATGTACGAAACATTCAACCCATTTACCCGTACCAAACACTCCTACCTGTTGCGGTAGTAGGGGCCGATACCAAACATTTACCACGTACGGCTGAGCGAAATATTATCTCACCTTAACCAGTATTGAACCTTCTCTCATATTCGCGAGCACCAAATATTCACATGTACTGTTAAGCATTCTCCCGCAATAATCAGTTGAATCAGTCCTTAAAATTATCCTAAAATACAGTATTAGCAAAAAACAGCCTATTGTATTTACAGAGCTTAATTTGAACTATTCCAACATAGCAGACTCAATTCTCAATATAGGTAGCTAATTCATGTTTCCAGGTATGAAGTACCTAATATCTCTAGTGAAATTATTCACGGAAATGCAATTTTTCCCTATCCTGTGTACCTAAAACTCACGAAATACGCACGTGCAAATACCAATAGTTTGATTTCACTTCGAATAGAGTTCACAATAACGGAACCGTGCAACTTAGGCTAGTTACCTTACAAATTTGCTTGCTCTGTAAACCCTGTTGTAACACGTCTTCAGCAACAAGCTCTCCGCTGACCAGTTGGTAAGGTTGCCCGATGCCACTACTCAACTCGAAGTTAACCGACTTATGAATCTAAGCTTTCGGTTCTGTAGTCCACAAACGATCCTGATGATGTCTTGGCCGATGGATCAGAAATTATAACCTCGAGTATAATAACACGAACAGCTGAAATAACACGTTCGTGTCATTATACCCCAAAGTTAAAAATTTCAGCAAAAATCTCGAAGCTCGACGGTGTGTACTTGAATGTCGTCGTGCGTTCCAACTTCCAAGTTCTAACCGTCAAAGACCTTCACTTTAGGAGGCACTGGATATTAAACACTTAGGAAGTTGTGTTTCTAAATATTCCTAAATTAGCATGTTCAGCTTTTAGAAACTTCATTATTTTCTATTAGCTTGCATCGCAGTTCACACTAAGGATACACGATGGAAACGAGAAGCATGTCTAATTAGCCAATAACCACTTAACACCACGAAATGCACTTAGCTACTGACTGTTTGAGTCACCAGAGCCGGTGCAGAGCGTCGGGGGTAGTGGGGGTAGGGGGTGCGGGTAACCCCACCTGAGAATAGGGAGTATTTTGGGGGTTGTTTATCAGTCTTCCCTGGAATGCGTGAGTTTTGAAGCCTTGCTTGTAATTGCAATTTGTGCGTGTTGCTAGAACGCGACGCACATATGTACGTAGACATAGAAGTAACACAAGCGTGTTCAAGAAAACGTACTGCACGCGTGTTGTTGTACATATTCGCAAATCGCATACGTGTTAACAGAAACGAAATGTCCGCGTTAGATCGCGTATTGAAGATAGCCCTGTTCACGCATGCGCTACTGAAAACGCGCGTTGGCGAGCATTAGTAGCAACCCCATTGACATGAAAGTAACGTAAGCGTGTTGAAGATAACAATGCCGATGTGTTTTTCTATGCGCACGCAAAGCAAGCGCATTGACAGACACGCATCGCACGCGTGTTGAATCTCACGCAACTCTCGTGTGAGCAACACGCACTCGATGCAAGCGTGTTGTAGATAACGCAACGCAAGCATGTCTACGTACACGCAATGCAAGAGTGTTGAAACGCTAGCGTGTTGATAAGTTCGTACCCATGCACAATGCACATGCAGCGCCACAACTAATGGCAGGGGCTAGTCGCGCTCGCGCTATAAGAACTCAGGCCAGCTACTGAGCAGGGTAAGCCAATGGTGGCCTGGCCAGCCGCTGATTTCGTGTGTCATTTGACCCTTATATTTTTTCCCATGAAACTACCCAAAATAGCTCCTACTGGGCGGCTAATTATGAGATGCGGCCATTTCACATCTGAATCATCTCTAATCCGAGACTGACAACCGAAACCAGACCGTCTGCCGCGGCTAAATTTTGACAGGGTACGAGTCTGTGTATAACGCTGGTAGGCTTCCTTCTTTGTTTTCAGCTTAGCTAGAACTGTACTAGCTGTTCATCCACTGAGTTTTTTTTGGCTCCACCAAGTTTAATTTTAGCTCATCTTCTGCAATGATTGAGGTTACTTTGAGTTTTCATTGCTGGAATGGGAATTCAATTGGTACACGAGGCCTTTCCTATCATTGAGTGAAACAAATCAGGGTATAAGCTAGTAACCTGCATTCAAAAACCTACTGTTATATTATCCTATTATCCATTGACGGCAATTTTAGTCAAAAATCCAAATATGCCTAATCTATTTGCCAGCTAGTAACAAATAATAATACACAATATTTAATTGAATAACAATCTTTAGATAATTAGATTGTTGTTACCGATCTCATAATCTTATCTCAAGGAGTTGCGATAACCTTCAGATTTTCAAGTTGGATGCAGAGTTCAATGATGGATCTCCCTAGTAAAATTACACTGACAGAAATGAGTGCGGCATATTCCAATTTGCAATGAACTTTTGTCCAAATTTACCTACTTTCTTGCCTCAACTGGATCCGAAAAAAAAGAGTATCAGGCCTACGTACAGATATCACTATTTATATGCGTACAATTTATGACCAGAGAGTGCATTTGAATTTTCAAGGAGTTGAACAATTCTTAGATGACGTTGGTAGATCAAAAGGCAGATTTAGCAAATAATAATATATTAACGACGTTTCGAATGTAGCAACATTCATTTTCAAGTTAAGAGAAGCATTGAATAGTGAAATTTGGTTTCATTGCAAATGAATTCCATTGTATGTGAATTCCATCTCAATTCCATCATCCTGCTTCTGGGTGAGTGACATTATTTTCTTTAGCAGACTGTCAAACAAGTCCACCGGCAGTCTAGTATTTCGGCTATATCCATCTCCACTGACGTCTTATTAACTGGTATACAATCTTCAAAGCGCGCGGTCTCGAGCTACCGTGTACAAAAATTAATGTGAACGGTTGTGGGCGGTGAGGCGCTGCAGCAAGCGCCTCACCGCCCATGTCGTTGCCCCTAGTGTAAACGGGCCTTAAGAAAGGCAGTGGAGTGCATCGGAGGTAAAACGGAAGACTTGAAAGATCGCCCGCATTTTCGGGATGCGCAGTCGTACATCATCTCCAACTTCTACTGCGATGATGGCTTAGGTACGGCGTCGAATCCCTCGGATGCCATCGGAGTCCTCTCAGTGGCCAAGAGTATTCTGGCGCGGTATCAGATACGTTTACACAAGATCGTATCCAGCTCTTCGGAAGTATTGTCTGCATTCCCATCCAGCGAGAGAGCTGCTGGGTATGAGGTTGAGTTTTTCAATGCGCCATGCACAGTACTCCAGGCATAATCTGGAACGTTAGAGACGACTGCTTCACGCTCAAGGTGAGTCTTCCTGAGAGACCTTTCACGAGACGCGGAATGCTGTCCGTTACTAACTCAGTCTACGACCAGATTGGGTTCGTCTGCCCGGTTATCCTGGGAGGCAGACTTATTATTCTGCCTCCCAGAATAATCTTATTCAAGCGTTATTTACGAACTCGTAGCGATGCTGAGTATAACCTGTATGCAAGAGCTCGAAATCAAGCTAAAAAAATGATTTTCGATTTGCCAGTTCAAACTAAAAATATTGTTCGATATATTGAAAAAACTAATAAGAAAATTGCGAATAAAACAAATTCTCTGGTCTTCAATGAAACCTGCTTGAAAGAAGAAATTCTGCCAACCTATACTAATATCACTATTTAGGCAGTATGACTCACTAATCATTAATGAGTGTAAGATGTTTGGTTTAAACATCGTATAAAATTATTTGTTTGTTATTTTGTTTCCGATTATTTCAAATGGTATGTTTCAGATCTCGATGGTTTTATGCCTTGGAGATTGTACATTCATTTTTGCAGTTGTAGTGGTAACATGTTCATGAGTTTATATCGTAATCTATTTTATTCTAATCGAATTATAATAGAAGTATAAAAACGAAGAATGTAATATTTTCATTGTAATTACGTATTATTTTTTAACGATATAACGTTTTATTTTAATTAATTAATATCGTATTTGACAAAAATGGTTAATAATTTTATTACTTGATGTGACTGATATATAATTTTTTGTTCTATGGTAAGAATTTTAATTCAAGCATTTTAATTGAAGTATATATATACTCGCGTAGATGATTCATTCCTATCTCCTTGAGTTAATAGATTATATGGTATTCTTATAACTCAAATGTGAATAATTGCACTTTAGCATTGCATGGTAGAACATTTACTACCAATGAAGTAAAGTAAATTGTAGAATCAATGTGAATATATAGATATACATAAGTAATAAGAAATAAATGATATAGAAATATATAAATAACTAAGAAATACTTTAGAGAAACACTTGTGGCCCATTGGTTAAAGTTCAGAGTACCAAGATTGGCGCAGAGATATATCGAGGTGCGGGTTCTATCCCAGCTCTGTGCGCCAGTTTCTGGTCGGAATCAGCGAGGAGGCCGGGCGGTTAAGAACAGCAGAATTGTAGCATGGAGTTGCGAGTTCGAGACCGCAACGAGCTGTGAATGTTCTGCGATGTTAAGAATCGGCGACAGGCCTACGGCCTAATAAACGCTGAAATCGCTATAATTATTATTTATTTATTGTTCCTTGGCAGGCACGACATGGACGCAGGAGCTGGTGTGGTGTCTAGTGCGAGGTCTCGACCACAGCCTCAGCAGCAAGCCCCTCATGAACCGCTTCCCTTTTTTCGAGTACGTCTGAGGATTTTTAGCGCATTTTCTCATTTATGGAAAAAAGGCGCTATTGTGCTCGCCATGTCCGTCTGTCCACCCGTCTGTCTGTCCATCTCTGACAGACAGACGAGAAAATGCGCTCTCTGCCACTCACTGCAGTGAGTACTGAATTATATTTTTTCTCGAAGTAAATTAATCCCCCCGAGGAATTCTGAGCCTTTTCTACTAAACGAGCAACAGGTATCACCTTAAATCTTTCATAAAATTAACAATTTTCTTAATTCGGCTTTGTTTAGGATGTTGAGTGTAATATGGTAGGTTACTTAGCAGGTTAGTTATCTCAGCATGACAGGTTTCCCGGATCATCTGAATTATCGGGTTATCCACCGTATCATCTTATCAACTTATCAAGGTATCCGGATCATCTAATCAACTTATCAAGGTATCCGGATCATCTAATCAACTTATCAAGGTATCCGGATCATCTTATCAACTTATCAAGGTATACGGATCATCTTATCAACTTATCAAGGTATCCGGATCATCTTATCTAATTATCCGGCTTTGCTAGGTATAGCCTATCAGGTTTTATGGCTTATCAGGTTATCCGGCTTTGTTATCGCCATGTCAGGTAACGCGGTTTAGTTGTTATACAGCTTAGCAGTTTATACGACTTATTAGGTTAACCATCGTACCAGCTTGTTCGGCTTAGCAGGTTATCCGCTGTACCAGGTTAAACAGCACGGTAAAGTAACCAAGACTTTCAAAGTAACTAAGCTTACTGAAATCTAGGTTATAACGCAATATAACTTTGCAAACCTCTCTACTGATATTATTATCTTGATAACAAGAGCAGTGGACTTGCACATGCATGATGGTATCCATTGCTTGAATTTCTTGGGCCAAGAGCAAACATTTCATTTATGCCTCATGGCAAAAATTTAGCATTTGTACATGTTGAAGAATAAACATATTTTATAAAAATAAATTCAATTTATTATTTATTTTTTTCATAGGTGGGACTCTCTCATGACTCCAGAACTCGTCCAGGCTCTGGAATCGATGCCAGACGACAACGTGGAGAAACCTGGAGCGCAATGGAGGATCCTGGAGCGTGGAGACGACCCACGTCTGATCAAGACCCACCTCCACCGGGAGCTGATGCCCCGTGGCGTCAGAAGCTCCAAGTCTAAGGTATTGTAGCCAGAAATCTTGCAACATCTTAACTAGACAGACATTAATAGTTAAACGCATTCTACTATGACTCTTAATAAAATCGGGATATAATTCACATGCTGCTAGTTTCTGTATTTAATATGGACGCGAATGTTGCGCTGAGGATAAATGAAAGTAGACCATCGATTCGTAGGATCTCGGGCTTGTACAGTATGCCCTTCCCTTACAGGCAAATGACGCTAGAACTACGTCAATTTCCTCGAAAAATCGTTTAATGTACGTTATTTTTACGTCAGATGTCAGCGTGTACAGGGTATTCAAAATAAGTGTGCAACCGTGATATTTTACTGCATATCAAATGGTATAGTTTTCCATTTTCATCTTTGTTTTATATACAATCCAACAAATTTATATGAATTGTTATTTACGATGAAAAGCTAATTCAAATGACGTACGTGTCCGAATATGAATGAATTATTTTTTTAACATCTTCTAGAGAGAGGGCTTGAATTAGTCGACGAGAAAAATCTTATGCAGAAAAACTACATAGAGATGATTTTTGGGGTGGAATATAGTTGAATACGTTGATACTCGTTGAGCATTAACTATACGTCACCTAAAATTAATACGCTGATCACTCTATGCAGATAATATACGTGGTACGCGATCCACGAGACGTATGCGTGTCGCTGTTCCACCACACCATCAAATTTCTCGGCTACACCGGAGACTTCGATCATTTCGTCGACATGTTTCTCAGCGCCAGATGTGAGTCTGGATCAATGAAATTATTAGAATAACAAGGCGTATTTATCAATGTGTTTCGTTTTGTTTAACGTGAGCATTACACGCTAGGACCAGGCTATTGTTTACTGCGAAAATAAAAAGACGAACGCACGCGAGCATCATTGCTTATAAAAGTTGATACAATGAAAGCGGCAGCAAAAATCTTAGACCTACGGATTTAATACATAAAAAGTAAAAACTCCAGTTGGCAAAAGATCAAGCCTGGTTAGCATAAGTATCTTAGAACAGATCGTTGTTGAATTGTTCTAAATATCAATCGGCGACGAATAAATGTAGTACATTTTATTAAGCACTAAAAATTCCATGGAAAAGTGCGAGTGCACATGAATAATGAAAAACGTTGATGTCATGTTTTGTGACAAAGATTTCCTATTATGTAATCATACTAAAATGATTTTCTCGAACTATGTAGAGAAAACAATAACGAGCTATAGCAGATTCACAGTAGTGACAGGACGTGTACAGTATTTAACCTACAGAGAGTAGCTGAAAATATTTTACGATTGAATAACAATCTATTGATGCAGATGAATTCGGGCCATACTGGAGCAACGTGTTGAGCTTCTGGAATAAAAGAAAAAGCGACAACATACTTGTGTTGAAATACGAAGACATGCATGCGGTACGTAGGTTTATGTTGAATAATGTGGCGTAGAGTGGAGGGTGTTGGAAGCATATAGAAATTTTCCTGCATATTTGGTTTGCAAAATATGTTCGCGTTTTCTAGGAGATTAATAAATCCCCTGAAACGAGACATTTTTGTTCTTTTCTGAATGTGATATTATTAATTTAATATATATAAAATATCCATCCACTTGAAAAATTCTCACTGCCATCTTATTTGGCCAAAACAATCCAAGATTCTGCATACTAAGTTACTTCGTTTACTTCAATAAGTTCTCCAGTAGCATAAAAATTTGTCTCGTTTTTGCTGTCTGCAAAAGGAAAAGGGAATCTCTTAGTTGACAAAATAACAGTTACTTTCTCATAGCTATGCGTAGATCAATTGATATTTTATTACAATTATTGCAACTGATGTATGATTATATTAGGGCATCTCACGATTGATTTAAACTTCAAATAAATAACATGATTCAGGACTTGGTTGGCGAAATGGTACGAGTGGCCAAGTACCTAGAGGTACCAATACCAGAGAACCAGCTACCGGAGATTGTGGAGCATCTTTCTTTTAGAAATATGAAGGATAATCCTGCCACCAACAACGAGAGCACCATGGATGGACTGGTCGAGAATACAGGGGTCAAGTTCATGAGGAAAGGAATTGTAAGTTGAAAATGAGACGAAAATTTAAATCCCTTTCCTGTATAGAAGCGTTGTTTTTGTTATAATTTTATATTTATTTGTAATCGGAATTTTTTCTACACTTCGGGTGCGTTAGATCAATTGTTTATTCGCTATCGTATCATTGATTAATAAGGACAAGACCGTCAATAAGGCGCGTTTTTGCCAAAGGTTTTCTAGAAATTGATCGCGACAAATGAGTAAATGAGGCTCAAAATGATACACTTTTACTTTAAAATTGAACTGGGGAAAATCAAAACACATAATGCGAAAAAATCACATGAACAAAAAACATGTAAATAACTTCAGAACACGACATTTAACCATACGTAAACATGAACTTAAACTCTTAATTGAAGAATTGGATGAACCATTTCGAATTTCAAAGTCTCTAATCGCTATTCGACTTCCCTACTTTACCGGGAAACGATCAGCAATGCGATCTCGTGGAGCGGTACTCCGAAGCATACACTGTATATAGTATAGTATAGTATCTTCGGCATTAAATAAATAGGCCTGGATAGGCATCCACATTTTGCTGACAACGACGATGAGAATATCCTTATTATATAGTTAGAATATCTTCATCAAACTTTTTGCAAAATAGTGTATATCGGGTTATTTTCATCGTAGTGATACATTGACCATTGTAGTGATGCATTGAACCCTTATTGACTTACAGTTGGAACAATTTATAATGTATAAGTATTTACAGAAAAACACGCTTTATTGATCCTATTTGTAACATACTGTAATGCATAAGTTTTCATTTAAATGATTCTCTCTTAATCCAATACTCGATAATGATAATTAATCGATGGTTTTAACAGGTAGGGGATCACAAGAACGTGTTGTCCGTAGACCAGCTCAAGAGGTTCCAGGTGTGGACGCAGACTTGCCTAAAGGATTCTGACTTCCCGTACTACAGAGACTGAAGCGTCGGGCGGCTGAACTGATATCAGCGTATAACATATTAAGGGCAGCACGTTATAATGTAATACGTTGTATTGTAATGATTTATAACGTAATAATAATACTATATGATATCAGCGCATAACATATTAAGGCAGCGCGTTATAATGTTATGAGCTATATCATAATGACTTATAACGTAATAATGACACTATATAATACTATGCATAACATATTAAGGGCAGCACGTTATAATGTAATACCTTATATTGTAATGATTTATAACGTAATAATAAGACTATATAATATAATGATAGCTAAAGTTAGCATATTAATGCTAAAAAATGAATAAGAGAGGCAATTCTGAGACAAAGAATAATTCGATATTTTCGTTAATTATAGAAATGCTCTTATTATTATAAATTATTACGAAATTTTCTCACTGAGTGAATAAGTAACAAATTTGTACTTAGTAACAGTAGAATGCCGATTTGTGTCAAAAGTTACAAATCGGTGTGAAGTGTCGAGTCTTGTTTGTCACATTACTATCTCTATATTAATACATAGTTAGATTTTAAAACGAACCTAAACTCGCTGATAGTTTCCATTATAAGAAATACCAACGATGATATTGGATGAGCTTTTTAGTCACATTTGTGCCAAGCTATTAATAAATCATTAATTCAAATATACTTTTATTATCGCAGTAATTATATAAAAAATTGTATAGTTCTTTAGTTAAAATTTGATAGTAATAAGATGAATTCAAATATACTTTTACCTTATCAGAAGTTAATTTAAATATACCTTTATAGTAGCAACGAACCCAACAATTAATGAGCATGAGTAAGAGAAAGCATCGCAAAGTTAGTCACATCCCACACACGACAATACGGTTAAATTCAACAGTGGTGGCACTAAAAGAAAATTCGTTAACATTGATAAGGTTAAAATTGAATTATTCAGTAAACGTTACTCGTAATTGCGATAGTATGGGAAGTCTGGAGCTTTCAACGCCTCCTCCGTCCACTTCTTGAACTGCTGGAGCTGTTGGGCGCTCAAGTGGCTTGTGTGGTCGCCAACCTGGAGCACAATACATTCAATATTATTTAAGTATGTAATCTGAATTTCCTTGAAATGTAAATCTACACTTGTTAGAAATTCAAAATTATGTTTGTTAAAAATGTGAGTCTTCATTTGCAATAATATTCAAATCTGCAACCTGTAAAAATAAACGCAATTCAAACTCAAGTTTAATTTCCGGCGAGTTTACTTCAAAATTCACTCCACTTAAATTCGAGTCACCAAGATTTCTGTAGAAAAATACGGATTGTTGTGAATAAATGTCGACGGATGGGAAAATTTATTTTCATATTATGAATAAGAGAAATTAAACCATATAAATTCGATGATTTTCCCATTATTTCAATTCACGGACAGAATAATAATAAACGTATTTTTTTCTTAAAGGTTAAATATATGGCACATTTTTTGGCCACGCGTTTCAAATAGAGCTATAAAACTCATTCCTGGCAAAACAAAATTATCTTAGGAATTTAGAGGCAAGAAAAACTATAGTTAACTCAAATTGCCATTTTGATCATTTAAAATAAGATGTATCTAAATGAAATAAAGCTTACAAGATACATAAGAATATATATCATTGGTTACTAGTTGAACAATAGCAATAGTTGTGTTGAATATGCCAAAATTAAACCTTTCACCGATTTACACAGCTGTAGAATAGTCGCCATACCTATGGGTTAGACATGAATTTCAGTCAATTCATGGCTACATTACCAGGTGTAGCTACATTCATGGATCACCGAAAAATGATGCGCAAGGATATATAAATTCAAGTCATCCAGAAGATCAATATGACTAGGCACCATAGAATCCTTCCGTAAAAAAATACAAAATTTTTCTGGATAATTCAATTGACTTTTTTCCCTAAGATATGGTGTCTCCTAACCTACATTACCTCAGAAGTACGTATTGACTATTCCTCTCACGCTGCTGCTATACGAGAGGGAGCTGATCCCAAACCATGTCTAAATTACTCTTCTCAAAGAGGCTGCTGAGAAGGCTGTCCAATGTCTAGGTACTAGGTTGAAATGTAGACATCATCGATATTGAAAAGGATTTACTCTATAAAGTAACATCATGTAATATCATACCTGGGTTCTAACTTCTTTATTCCTTTGTAACGTAATTACTAATTTACCTTTTCAAAGCCTTCTAAGAACATCTTAACTTGCCTTAATTGTCTCATAAACTTGACCTGCCCTTCGGTGGTTGGGTTGACAGCAGCTGCAGCGAGCACCTCGTTGTTGGTGGCAGGGCCCATACTTTCAAAAAAAGTTAAGAGATCGTAAGTTCATCAGCCAATCATTGACGGCCTTGCAAGCAAAATCCACCAATCATAGACAAGGAAATAGAGCGTAAATACTTACATTCACTTAGCAAGTTTTGAAAGTATGGCCCCCGGGGGTTGGTGCTCATGCCACTGAAGGAGGGGTGCTCTGTGAGCTCTGAAGCCCATATATGGCGCCCTCTGGTCCTCCTCGCTTGATGCCCAGAAACTCAGCAACTCAGAACAGAGTGCCGGGCAAGTCCTGCAGCGTGTGCTTATATACAATCCAAATGATGAAGTAGAGTAATAACGAATAATATATTGAAATAAAAGAAAATAAAATACATGGTAAAATATGAAATAAGATGAAATAATATATAAAATGAATTGACAAAAATATTATATACTTTTTTATACGAGCAAACAAAATATTTTATTAGCAACTTGTTGACTTTACGCTATCCACTCGATATTGCGTTCCACTGTTAAATCCAATGGAAAATTGCCATTTCTTTTACAGAACGAAAGCAAGTGTATTTTTGTAATTTTAGTAGCACTTGACCAACTTTATATACTGCTATATTTTATAACTTCAATGATAGTGAAAGAAAAAGGTGTGCTATGGATTAATTAGAGAAAAGTTAACTGAAGTATAGAGGAAAGGAAATTTTGCAAGTTAACAACTCCATCATCATTTCCTGTGGAGAGTCACAGCAGAGACGCCCTAAATTTCACTACGGCTTTAGAAATTCATAAAGATTAAAAAATTAATATGACTTAATTAAATTACCAAAGGGTCAAAAGCTGGCAGAATAAAGCAGTATTAGAGTTGTGGATGTGTGAAGAAGGAAAATAAAAGGTGAACAACCAGTTTAAAAAAAAATCAGGATAGTTGCACAGCAGGAGACAAGAAAACGGAAATCAGTGCAACATTAACAGAAGCAAACTCATTTGTAAAACATATGTATTTTCGGATACGTCAAGCCACACGCTTTCTGGAGAGTCGAAAAAGAAGTTTAGGTTGGCATAGGAACCTTACCAACATAACACTTAATCACACAACCGAGACCAACGTTTAATTGGATCCTATATCACTGAATAAATCAATGGGTAATATATTGTCCATATTGTGACATTCTTTCTACAGATAACACTGACACGCCTTTCTGCTAGCCTTATGTGGTCCGGATGACCCGCACAATTAATGGCAAAAAATAGGTCGCTATTTGGACAATGTTTAACTGAATTTTCTGAGTGTATGAGCTTTGTGATTTCGTAGCAACAACCCTGGCAAGGAGTTTAACAGGAAGCAACGTAATTTAAACATACAAATAGCAATTCCTATTACTGAACTAATTGGTGCAGGGGAAGTTATAGAGCTGTAATATTTTATGAAGTGCTGCCGAGTCATTACAACTCTGAAGGGTACAAACCTTTTTGAGTTGTTCGAATGTGAAGAAGAAAACGTTCAGATAGGGCCTGCGCTGCCAGTAGCTCAGCACGTTGCCCCAGAACGGACCCCAAGGCACTGAATAGAAAAAAAAGCTTAGGGGAAAGTGGGATACATCAACTATATTGTATATTAAATGGTAGTAATGTCACAAAAGCCAGTCATTTACCGCGCAGCACTGAGAGGTGTTTCAATTGTCAAAAAGTGACATTTCCCACTGTTTCCCATGGCCCACTGGACCCCAATTTCCCACTGTTTCCCATGGCCCACTGGACCCCAATTTCCCACTGTTTCCCATGGCCCACTGGACCCCAATTTCCCACTGTATCCCATGGCCTACTGGACCCCAATTTCCCACTGTATCCCATGGCCCACTGTCGACCCCAATTTCCCACTGTATCCCATGGCCTACTGGACCCCAATTTCCCACTGTATCCCATGGCCCACTGGACCCCAATTTCCCACTGTATCCCATGGCCCACTGGACCCCAATTTCCCACTGTTTCCCATGACCCACTGGACCCCAATTTCCCACTGTATCCCATGGCCCACTGTCGACCCCAATTTCCCACTGCATCACATGGCCCACTGTGGACACCAATTTCCCACTGTATCCCATGGCCCACTGGACCCCAATTTCCCACTGTTTCCCATGACCCACTGGACCCCAATTTCCCACTGTATCCCATGGCCCACTGTCGACCCCAATTTCCCACTGCATCACATGGCCCACTGTGGACACCAATTTCCCACTGTATCCCATGGCCCACTGGACCCCAATTTCCTCCTGTATTCATGGCCCACTGGACCCCAATTTCCCACTGCCGTGGGAGAAGAGAAAAGGTCACGGGGGTCACGACACACGTACACGATCTGTCGTGGGAGGAGAGTGAAAGTCACGGGAGTAGTGACACACGTACAATATCTGTTGTGGTAACAGATCAGTACGTTGGATATCGGGGCATTGGTATTTTTGTCATTAGAGCATTGAAAGGACTATTAGGCAACGGGAAATGGGTACTTCGGACATGAGGATATGAAAGCCTTTGCCATAAGCGCATGTAAACTTTTGTCATGAAAAAATGATGAGTGAGAACTTTCGTCATCAACCATCATCATAAGTAAGAACTTTTATCATAAAACCATAATCATAAGTGAGAAATTAAGTCATAAATCCATGATTTTGAGTGAAAATTTTTATCATAAAACCATGATCATGAGTTAGAATTTTTGTCATATACCATCATCATGAGTGAGAACTTTTGTCATAAAACCATGACCGTGAGTGAGAACTTCTATCATAAAACCATGATCATGAGTTATAATTTTTGTCATAAACCATGATCATGAGTTAGAACTTTTGTCATAAAATCATGATCATGAGTAAAAACTTTTGTCATAAAACCATGATTATGAGTTAGAACCTTTATCATTATATCATAAAACCATGATCATGAATTAGAACTTTAACCATAAAACCATGATCACGAGTTAGAACCTTTATCGTAAGATTATGCTCATGATTTAGAACATTTCTCAAAAACCTTGATCATGAGTTAGAACATTTATCACAAAACCATGATCATGAGTTAAAACTTTTATAAGTCGGCACCGTGTGAACGCTCTAAAAATTGCAACGATTTCATTCCGACTTAAAACTGCGCAGACAGATCGTTGTGAAAACTGAGCGTGTGGACCGGCCTTTACAGGTATTTTTTCATGTTTCAGTTTGCTTAGTTATTTATACACAGTTATTTTTATCTTTCACCTTCCCTACATGGATGTCTACTTAAATCTACCAATCTCAAAAATAATCCACATATATATACAAATAAAAGACTGATTTTTTATATTCATATGTGGATAATTTTTTAGATTGGCAGATTAAAGTACACAGCCATGTAGGGAAGGTAAAACATAAAAATAACTGTAACTTTTATTTACTGTGTCTAACCTGTACTAGTTCAGTTAGGTTAACTGCAATAAAATTGCATTGATATGTTTTGAAAATGTTTTATTATCATTAAATGTTTATGAGTAAATCCCAATAGCAGAACAATAAATATTTAGAGATTTCCAATAATTTTGGCCATTGTAGCGGCTAATGTAGCGGCGCTACATTTTACTGTAGCGGTAGCGGTAGCGCCCGCTACAGTTAGAGCATGTAACGGTAGCGGTAGCGCCGCTACATTTCAATGTAGCGCTGCCCAGCTCTGCACATCGAGCAGGTCACGTGAGGTAAAAGAATAAATTCACTGTCAATTTATTGTGTCCTCATTATCCCGATCAGTTTCGGCCTGCCGCTCACTATCTTTCTGTCTGTCTTTATTGAATAATTCAAGTTACCTGGGCCGTTCAAATTCTCTGATTCATTGGGAGTTAAACGCAGTTAATGTGGACCGGTAAATTAAACCCCCACAGACTCACTAGCGACCACAGTCGCTAAAATACTGGAAGCCATTACTAACCTCGTGTGTTCTGGGGGGCAAACTAGTGGCGGCCAGAATCAGATGCCACAACTGGCCACACGCAACCGGGTGCACCTTGTGTTTAGCCAGAGATCAGAGCGTTCAATATTAGACGTTCCTGATTTCCTCTGAAGAAATTTTGTTTTGTGGATAATAAATAATATTATTAATTTCGCAATCCCCTATGGCCTATTACATTCATTAACAACTAAACCTTAAACTACTCGATTTATCCATTTAGAGACATCAGAGTAATGAAAATTTAGCTTTGCAATCGACAAAATAATGTTTCTGATTTGTAACGCAACTGTGTTTCGTTTTTCTCAATGAAATTCATTCTTTATATCATAAAATATCATGCGCTGCCGGGGCAAAGTCATGCTGCCAGTAAATGTAATAAATTATTTTCTCACTACCTTACCCATAGACTAGCGCAAACAAATTCCAGAGTCTAGACTGCAACGCTATCAACTGGCACCTATTTATTGTGCTATTTTTTATTTAGAACCATGTTCTGCTCGTTAATTGCGAGACCTGCTGGAAGCTTTTCGCTGCGCATGCCGTTCAACCACCTAACATGGTGTACTTACTTGCATGGATTGTCTGTACGTAGATACAGCCCACTGTTTTCTAAGGACACTTACATTGTTCTTAGAGGTATTTTCTGTATTAGGCCACAGGAATGCTTGTACCTTAACTTTAACTGAAGATCCTACCACCGCTATTCTTATAAAACACTGTCAATTCATATTTAAAATATACAAAAGAGCGCATAAGTCACTGCGGTCGTGGCACTCGCAAATGAGCACGCAGAATGTAACTGCCCTGTAATTTCTTCGAGAAATAAAAAGTTCGTAATGAGCCAAGCGATGTGCCTTCAATAGCCTCACTCCAAGTACGTGCAATGCATTGCAAGTGTTTTCTCGTTGTATACCCTTCCTAAATATTTAGTTTGTAAAATCTGGAGCTACGAATAATCGTAATGTTCAACCATGTGAATGCATCCTATAACTACCAATTGGCATTCCAATAATTTTAAAAGTTGCTCTACAGCACAATTCTAAAATATTACTAAATAATTTAGTACAGGCGGGTTTTCTCAATATTAGATTTCTTGCCAATTCGTATCTGCATGCATTAAGCGTTTGCAACGGTCTAGAAAGTACACGTTAACCTCGCATCACAATATATTTGAGATTTCTCGCAAGCATGATACTAAATAATTTCACATCTGTGAGAATGCACCAAATTTGAGGTACTTCGCATTGTCAAGCTGTCGCCCAAAACATTTCATGATGGAATACAGAGACGAAGTTGAAGGAATTCATTGTCTTCTCGAATTTAGGTTAGCGGAGTAAGCGTGAAGAAAGGGCAATTTGCATGCATTTTACTTACAGTCTGCATGAGGGCCAGGGCAGCGAATGAACGTACATCTGATAGTAACAAAGGTACTTTCAAATTTATATACGTTCGTAGGATGTATACCTCAGCAACAACCAGCGCGAAGACATGACAGCCGAACACCAAAAGTGTATACCTTCACGCAACGCTGAAGTTGACGTGACTCCCTCAAGCGAATCCCATTCACTACCCTATTTTGGCATTTCCGAATTTCATAATGCGGTGACAGGAAATTCGTTTGAGAGCTTCAAGAGAAGCAGCCAGGCGAGTGTCAAAGTTGGGGAAAATCAATGCACAAATTTTAAAAAAGGATCCCTATATGGGAACTTAAGTGGTATCATCCGGTTTAATGACAACTTGGGATAAAAAGTCGTGTTTTTCATCTCTCTAAATAATAAGGAATTTAAAAGCAAAGAAAAGGCCAAGAAAATTCACCATATCGACATTGAAAACGTTTCGGAGTCCAGCTCCATCATCAGTTCGACTAAACTAAAAATGAATAAAATCACTTTAAAAGCCAAAATTCAAAGACAGACATATAAGATTTTATTGATGTGATTTTAGTGATATAGTGATTTTATTCATTTTTAGTTTAGTCGAACTGATGATGGAGCTGGACTCCGAAACGTTTTCAATGTCGATATGGTGAATTTTCTTGGCCTTTTCTTTGCTTTTAAATTCCTTGAGAACTTGCGATATAAGCAGACGAATGATATAAGTACTTCTAAATAATAAATCTTGTATCGTTATTCGATACACAGCTTTGGGTCATATCAGCCTACCTTTTATTTAATACTAGTCATGGCTTATACAATACAATAATACTGTAGAAAGCCAATTTGTTCTATAAATCTCTTATTTTAAGATGACTTTTCAATTTTAAGAGCCTAGCTGCTAGGTCCGTAAATTTAAGGATTTGTTTATATTTGGGCCCTAATATTCAGCGTGCGCTAAATTTTCATTACATAAATTGTTTTCGTTTAATTGAGATCAGTTGGCATTTGTTTTGACAGGATGGGCGGCACGGAACTTTGCGCGTCAGTTTCTCTGTGCTATACCAGTGGGGCCATACTTTTCAAAACTCGCTAAGTTAACGTAAGTACTTACGCTCTATTTTCTTGTCAATGATTGGTGGATTTCGCTTGAAAGGCCGTCAATGATTGGCTGATGAAATTACGATCTCTTAACTTTTTTTGAAAGTATTGGGGG